GACAAAAAATGGTTGTTAACAACCGCGGACAAACCTGGTACGTCCGATAGTAAATCCCCACTTACCTAATCGTTGGCGATATCCCGACGGCGATTGCGATCCTGGACCAGCGATCTGCTATGATCACGGTCGGGGGGGACTGCTGGAGACCCCAGCAGTCCCCCTGTAGCAGCTCCAGCCACCCCAGCCCTCCAGGGCCATGTGATCACCATGATCACATCTCCGTAATGTGAGTCTATGGAACTGCCAGCAGGGGAACTATCTGAGCTGTCAGGCAGTCCCCCAGGCTGCTAAAAAGTAAATAAAATAAATATAAATATATTATACATATATTATATATGTATAATATATTATAAAATATAAAAATATACACTTATAATGAAATCATATATATGCTTTATATATGTATAATATATTATAACATACTTTAATTATAATATATTATACATATATAGGAAATAAAAGTGTGTGTTTGTGTGTGTTTATATATATATAAACACATACACAAACACACACGTATTATATACACACGTATTATATGTATATGTGTATATATATATATATATATATATACATATATATATATATATATATATATATATACACACACATACATACCCACATATTATATATATATATGTGTGTGTGTATATATATATATATATATATATATATATCCTATAGACTATAAGCTCGTTTGAGCAGGGCACTCTTCAACCTATTGTTCCTGTAAGTTTTTGTAATTGTCTAATTTATTATTAAATCTCCCCATTTGATAATATTGTAACGGAAAATGCTGGCGCTATATAAATACCAGTAATAATAATAATAATATATACACACACACGTAATAAAATTTGTAAAAAACAAATAAAAACGCTAACTTTGGCCAGCGTTTGTGACTAAGTGGCTACTACAAAAGACTGGAAATGTACATTTGAAAATGGTATGCCAGGATGGGGTTTATTCACATTCCTGGGCTACCGTATGGTCTCATAAGACCCAGCGAACAAATCTGACATACTAAATTGGGCAAGCCCTATACTGACCCTGTAACTTTCCAAAACACCATAAAATCTGTACATGGGGGGTATTGTTATACTCGGGAGACTTCGCTCAACACAAATATGAGTGTTTAAAACAGTAAAAGTTATCACGACAAAGAAAACACCAGTAAAAGTGCAATTTTTGTGTAAAAAAAATTGCAAAAAACAAATATGAACGATAACTTTGTCAAGCGTTTGTGGCTACTACAAAAGACTGTAGTATCTTATGCGCTACTTTTTGAAATGGTATGTCATGGTGGAGAGACATGCTTTGAATGTGCTCCTCTCCTGTATAACCTATAACTGCGGCTCACTGAGTGAGCACTTCCTGTCAGTCCGGCCAGGTACAGGAAACAGAGGCTCCTGTACAGCGGACCAGAGAGCAGCTTGGCCACGCTACCCAGGGAAGGTGAGGGGGGTGAGGAGAAGGGAGAGGGTTTGAGGAGAACGTGGAAGGGAGGGTGAGGAGAATGGGGGGCAGAGAGTCCACTAAGGGAGGTAGGGGTTTGAGGGGAGAACGTGGCGAGGGAGGGTGAGGAGAATGTGGGGGGGAGAGTCCACTAAGGGAGGGAGATGGTTTGAGGAGAACGTGGGTGGGTGGGTGAGGGAGAATGTGGGAGGGGTTGAGGGAGATTGTGGGGAAAGACCACTAAGGAGGGAGGGGGCAGATGAGAGGCCACTAAGGAAGGGAGGGAGAGGAGACCACTAAGGGAGGGCAGGGGAGAAGTGAGACCACTAAAAGGAGGGTGGGGGGGAAGAGAGACAACAAAGCGGGGAGAGGAGAAAACACTAATGGAAAGAGGGGGTGAGGGGAGATACCACTATTTAAAAGGTGGGGGAGGAAAGATGACTAATGGAAATGGGGGGGAGAGAAACCACTAAGGAGGGGAAGGAGAGACCCATGGGTGGGGATGGAGGGTAGCAGAAGAGAGCAGAGACCACTAAAGGGGAGATGAAAGACCATTAATGGAAAGGGGGGGGGGAAGAGGAGAGACCACTAAGGAAGGAGGGGGAGGAGAGTAGAGATCACTAAGGGAGGAGGGGGATGAGAGTAGAGACCACTAAGGGACAGGGGAAGAGAAGAGAGACCACTAAGGGGCAGGGAAGAGCTCTAAGGGACGGAAGGGAGAGCTCTAAGGGACGGGGGTAGGAGAGAGCTCTAACGGATGGGGGGGGCGACAAGGGACGGGGGATAGTAGAGAGCACTAGAAGGGGAGAGCACTATCGGAAAGGGGGCAGGGAGATCACAAAGAGACAGGTGAGATTACTAAGGGACAGGAGGGGAGGGAGGCTGGGGAAGGGGGGAAAGAGAAGCACAAAGAGGCTGGTAGGACTTAGCCACTATCCTACCCCAAAAACTCTCTCTTTCACACTACGCACACAGACACAATGTATCCCTATACATACACAGAAACACACAATGCATCCCTACACACACAAAAACACAACATGCTTCCCTTACACACAGAGAAACATAATGCATCCATTACACACACACATAATGCAACCCGTACACACAAAGACAATACATCCTTTACACACATACACAGAAACACACAATGCATCCCTTACATACACACACACGCAAAAACACACTGCTTCTCTTACACACACACAGAAACTCAGTACATCTCGTACACACACTCAATGCACCCCTTACAGACATACAAACTGCATCCTTTACAGGAACACACCTTGCAACCCTTACGCATACAAACACAGATTCACACATTGCATCCCTTACACATAACCAGAAATACACAATATATTAAACACGAACACACACTGCTTTCTATCCCTTACACAAAAACACACTGCTTCCACTACACACACACACTGCATCATCTACACAAACTGGTTTCCCTATACACTACATTCCATAAGCACACACATTAGATCCTCTACAATAACACATAACACATCCCCTACACACTCCACTCCCTGTGAGCAAATTAATGGGTGGAACATGTAGGTGGACTTATGTATGGGCCTTATGGACATACTCACTGTCAGGCCTTGGGGCCCAGACTTTGAGCTGTGTAAGGGGCCCCAAAAAGTGGAGGTGCTTCCCGTTCTCCCAGAACATTGAATTTTGTGACCAAAATTTTGTGGCGGCAAATTTTTATTTTGCCTAGGGCGGCACAAATCCTTGCACCGGCCCTGGACACACCTCTACATGGGTGGTATCACTGTACTTGGGAGATGTTGCTGAACACATATTGGAGTGTTCTTTGGCAGTAACCCTTAAAGTTCTCAGTACATGTATTCTTAAATTGCTATGTGTGTCAAAAAAAAATCAACAATTGTTATTTTTTTTTGGCATAGATTGGTTGTAAAATGGTTGCATGAAAACAGCATGAAAAGAGTCAAAATACCCCAACTTTAATATCTTAGGTTGTCTTCTTTTAAAAATATATATACATGTGAAGGGATATCAGTGTTACAATGTAACTTAATTTTAAAAATAAATAGTTTGGAAATACCAAAGTGCTACTTGTACTTATTGCCCTATAACTTGAAGAAAAAAGCTAAGAACATGTTAACATTGGGTATTTCTAAACTCAGTACAAAATTTGGAAACTATTTATTATGGGTGTTTTTTGGCGGTTGTATATGCGTAACAGATTTTGGGGGTCAAAGTTAGAAAAAGTGTGTTTTTAAAAAGAGTTTCTTCATATTTTCAAATTTTTTTCTGTAGTAAATGATATGATGAAAATAATGGTATCTTTAGAAAGACCATTTAATGGCGAGAAAAATGGTATATAATATGTGTGGTTAAAGGGACACTATAGTCACCAGAATAACTACAACCTATTGAATTTGTTCTGAGTAGAATCATTACCTTCAGCTTTTTGCTGTAAACACTGTCTTTTCAGAGAAAATGCAGTGTTTACATTACAACCTAGTGATAACTTCACTGGCCACTCCTCAGATGGCTGTTCCTGGGTCATGGCTGCCTAAAATGCATCCAAATATTCAGTATCTCCTCCCTCTGCATGCAGACACCAAACTTTCCTCATAGAGATTCATTGATTCAATTCATCTCTATGAGGAGATGCTGATTGGCCAGGGCTGTGTTTGAATCATGCTGGCTCTTCCCCTGATCTGCCTCCTTGTCAGTCTCAGCCAATCCTATTGGGAAGCACTGTGATTGGATCAGGCCACCACTTCTAATGATGTTAGCAGACTGCTTGTTTTTCTGAGTCTATGCAGAGCATGCAGAGTTACAGCTTCAGGCTTGAATACAGTAAGATTTTGCTATATTTAGGGAGGCATGAGGGGCCCAGGGGGGCTAGATGGTGGTGTTAACACTATAGGGTCAGGAATACATGTTGGTGTTCCTGACCCTATAGTGATCCTTTAAAGTAAATGAGTAAGAGGAAATTTACAGCTAAACACAAACACAAAAAAAAGGCTTTACATACGTTTTCTTGCAACTGTATATGTAAATGAGGCTGTTGGAGGTATAATAGGTGTGCTGTTTTCAAAAAAGCTCAGTTGTGTTGCACTCTATCCTATGCCTGGACTAGTATTTGGGTGGAAGGGGTGATATGGCTATAACCACTGCCTTGTTATAATCACTGCTTTGTTGGAGAGAAAGTCTCTAGAGCTAAATTCACTGTAGCCTGGCCCAGGGAAGAGGTCCTCAGGGACCCCAGTAAAGCTTCGGCAACTGAGTATGAAATGCTCCAGAGTTCCTGGTGGCAGAGAAGTAGCTGACCTGGCAGAGGTACTCATCTAGACTACATGAGTTCAGTCACATAAACATATGTTTATACCAGGTTAAGCAAATTCTTTATATGCAGTATAAAAGACAAAATGTGATTTCGCACACAGAGATAAAAGTGGGTTTTACCTTACATACAAGTTTTTTCAGGTAACCACACTAACGGTTGTTCTTAAGAACCTATATACAGATAAATTGAAACACACATAGTGTAAACTGTACATAACAGATAATGACGTGAAAGAAATGTTTCTTCAAACTCACAATTTTCTCACAACTTTAAAATTGTGAGTTTGAAGAAATATTTATGTCACGTCATTATTTGTTATATACAGTTTACACTATTTGTGTTTCAATTTATCAGTATATAGGTTCTTAAGAACAACCGTTAGTGTGGCTACCTGAAAAAACTTGTATGTAAGGTAAAACCCACTTTTATCTCTGTGTGCGTAAATCACCTCTTTTCCTTACAAAATTCTTTATATGCGCCTTGATGTCCTTCCAAAATGTGATCCTCTTATTCCTGCAGCTAGAATTTCTTTGTCCATCTGAACCAAAAACAAAATTACATACAATTATTTTGGAGGACAGTTTTTCTAATGCTCAACAACCAGCATGACTTTGTTGCAATATTCTTTTGCATTAGTTATCCAAACGTGGGTGGTGTTAAAATGGCAGACAGGGGCGGACTGACCGGTTGGGCACTTCGGACACGGTCCGAGGGCCCGGCCGGGAGGGGGGCCCGCCGCCAGGGCCGCCTTCAGGGGGCCCGGCGGCAGGGCTGGATTGGGGGCGGCATTTGGGGACTGCAGGTGCCACCGGGTGGCCGGTCCGGTGGCACACTGTGAGGGGGGGCGGCCGTTTGATGCTGCAGCCGCCGGACCGGGTGGCAGCCTTGCCGGTCCGGCGGCATTCCTCTCACTAACACTGGAGGAGGAGCATGTGTCTGTCATACTCCCTGCGGTTCCCACAATTCCCAGCACAGGATGTGGGAACCGCAAAGGAGCATGATAGACACATGCTCCTCCTCCTCCTCCTTCAGTGTTAGTGAGAGGAATGCCGCCGGACCGGCGAGGCTGCCACCTGGTCCGGCGGCTCCAGCATCAAACGGCCGGCCCCCTCTGACTTTAGTAAGAGGGGGGAGAGATGGGGAGAGATGGAGAGGGGGGAG